TTTGATTATTATCTAGACATCACTGAATTTATTCCATTCTTGAATTAAATACTCATTCAAATATATGAATGTTTGAACACAATGGTGCTTTATTGTTGACCAGCAGTGTTTCCCATTACTCTTCTGCATCAGGTTACAAGAGATACGAGCTGGAGTGAGCTTTAGAGCCAAGTCATGTTCAAACGCCACTGGAAAGATGGGGCTAAATACAAGAGAGGATGAAGATAAGGATTTAGCAGATAATCACAAGATGGTTCCGCCTTCATTGCCAGATTAAATATGGCATTTGTGTAGCCTCTCCAGATGCTTTTATTGATGTGAACGCATTTGTTTGTTTCCCTGGCGTGTGCTGGTACACCGTCAGTGGAATGTCACTCTGGCAAGTAGTAGAAGCACACAGAAACACAAATGTTGCTGGGAAAGCAGATGTCAATGCAGAAATAAATAAGTCTTTGTTTCCCGGGACCTTCAGGAAAAAGAAAGGAAAGAAATCTCAAGGTTCTTATTTCTTTGGATTTGCCGATGACAATCATAATCAATGTCCTGTTCCTCGTTCATGCTCTGCTGGTTGCAACTCTAAAAAAGGTCACAACTCTATCTCACTGCACTATTGGATTAGGTTTCTAGCACACTGCTCTTTAAAGAGCAACTCGGCATGTTCTTGGCTTGTTACGCAATGTTTCCTGTACATTCCCTTGTCACAAAAATAAATTCATGCAATGTTTAAACATTTATTTAAAGGAATATTCTGGGTTCAGTACAATTTTAGCTCAATACAGCATTTTTGGCATTATATTGATTAGCACAAAAGTTATTTTCCTTCTTTAAAAAAAAGTGAGGCACTTACAGTAGACATGAATGAGGCCAATTTGTAAATGTTAAATTACTCTGTAGTATAGCAACAAGATACAGTATAAACTATATGCAATTTAACATGACCAGTGTAAAACTATCTAAATGTACAACTTAAATCTTAATCTTACAACTTAATTGTAATGCAAAACTGCTTTACAAATGATTTAAATATTAACGCAAACATCTTAACGCATTAAATAATATAAAAGTTGTAACAAGAACTGTGAACTGTGTTTAAATGCCTAAAATAATATGCCGTACGTTTCTGCTTTTAAAACCTCCAAAAATCAGCCCCTTTCACACTGCCTGTTATGGGAACCTTGTCTTTTGTGGTAATCGGAAAAAAAGAAAAAAAATATTATATATATATTACCTCCTTCAAAAGTTTGGGGTTGGTAAGATTTTTTAAAAAGTTTTTGATAAAAGTTTCCTTTGCATTAATTTTTCACCAGTCTTCAGTGTCACATGATTCTTCAGAAATCATCCTAATATGCTGATTTGGTGTTCAAGAAAAATTTAAAAAATAGTGCTGCCTAATACTTTTGTGAAAACATAAGTACAGTTTTTTTCAGGATTCTGTGATGAATAGAAAGTTTAAAAGACGGCATTTATTTTAAATATAAAACTTTTGTAACATTATAAATGTCTTTACTGTCACTTTTGATCAGTTTAGTTTAACAGAATGTAATACTGACATACTCTTACCATCAGATCTTCTAGTCCAGTACACAGAGGCCTGCTGACAGAGGGACTGAAGAGGTTCTTGAAGGGTGGAAGCGTCCACACGGCTGCTGGACAGCACTCCCAAAAACTCGGTGTGTTTTTCAGTCTGATTTCCCACCACCCAGACCTGACGAACCTGTGAGAATCATGACATATCTCACTGTGTATCATCGCCGACTAAATTATCCTCTAATGGTGTGATACAGACTCACTATAGCTGGTCCTGTGTGAACGCATATACTGTATAACTCCCGATCGTATAATTGTGTCTTGAGGGGTTTAAGTCTGTCCTCTAGTACAAAAGGCATTTGTAATTACACCACTTACACTCCTCTGAGAGATCAGATAGACACTTGTTAAAGCAGAGTAATGGCAGTTTATGCTTCTCAATAGCTTATTGTGCACCAAAAATTGGAAATCTTTTTCAAAAGGCTATTGACCACGGATCGAGTTTCCAAAAACTTTTCTAATGGCTTTAATCAAACGCAATGATGCAAAAATCTCAACTGAGACCAAGATTTTAAGTGGTCAGCGATACTTATCGGTTCATCAACCCATCCCGCTCTGCACAGATCATAACCCAGCGCATGAATCAACTTAAGTGCTGAGAGAAGTGTGTCCAACACAGGTCTCTGCTCTATTTGCGGGAGGGAGCTCTGTCTTTCCAGTAGTGACTTATAAGAGGAAAAAGCCAACAGAGTGGCCATTGTGCACCCTGTGGTCCCATCCTGTAATGCGATCCAGCCAAGGTGGATCAGATGGTCTGTGGAATTCGGACTCGGCTACACTAAAGCCCTCCTGAGCTGGTGCGGTCCATTACTCCCTTTCTGGAGTCACGGAGGAGAAAGCAGCCAAAAGAGCTCTCTAATCTACCTAAGAGCACTGGGGTAGTGCCGCGTTCAAGTGTCAGTCAATTTGCCAGCCACCTTTATGTTTTAGGTACATATGGTGCATAAGGTCTCAAAAAGCTGCTGCGTCCAAAAGAACGAGATCCAGTTAAATACACCAAAGCAATCCTCATTCATTTGGTAAAAATAGGATACTTGACAGTTTATTCCTGTGAGGCAAAGGTGAGTTTTCATTTTCCAGTGTCACATGATCCTTCAGGAATCATTCTAATATGCTGATTTGATAACATTTCTTATCTTTATCAATATTAAAAAAGCAGCATTGCCTAATATGTTGTGGAATCCATTATACTGTTTTTTTCCCCCTATTCTTTGATAAATAAAACATTTAAAACAGCATTTCTTTGAAACAGAAATCTTTTGTTACATTGTAACATGATTTACTGTCACTTTTGTTTAATTTAATGCATCTATGCTGAATAAAATATTAATTTCTTTCATAATAATAATAATAATCTTATTGACCCAAACTTTTGAATAGTACACTCTCAAAAATAAAGGTTCTTTACTGGCATCTATAGTTCCATGAAAAACCTTTAACATTCATGGAACCTTTCCACTGGACAAAAGGTTCTTTATAATGGAAAAATGTGCTTTAGATACTTAAAATGTTCTTCACACTAAGAAAAGAAATGGTTATTTTAAGAAATTTTCTTTGAGGAACCCAAGATTCTGACATGGCATGACTGTATGAAAAAAAAAAACCTTTTGGAACCTTTATTTTTAAGAGTGTAGTGTATATATTTAATATAATGTAATATTGTAAGATTAGTTTTCCATAATCACACCATCTGATCTTCTGGTCCAATACAAAAAATAGGAGACTCAACAAGCAGAAATCCTTTACCTGTTGCTCTGACTTGTTCAGTTGAGATTGCACATTCTCGTAATCCAAACTTTCCATCCGGCGAAGAAAGCAGCTGTCCTGATTGTCAGGTTTATAGCATACCAACCCCTGAGGGAGAGTGATAGAGAAATGTAACTGAGCTTTAGAGGAAAATCCTAATCCGTAGAGAAAGGAAAGGGCCTTACATGTCTCATGTCAAAAAGCACTATGGAGGTGTGGTTGATATGGGAAGTCACAGAGTAGGTCACTACACTGTTGTGCTTGTCAATCAAAGCCGACTGATTGATCAAGTCACCCATGTGATTGGGAATTCTGATAACCTGCAATGCGCAGAAGTTTCATTTTCAGTGCAAACGTTTAAAGCAAGACACCACAGGTGATACAATATCAGAATACTTTCCCTGTTGATTAATCACAGTACATTAAGAGCAAACCCCTCTGTAAAACACTTAGGAATATAGATAGGAATGAAACAGGAAAGTCTGGTGTATGTAAGTGCTACTGAAATGAAGATTTCTGACTCAGTCCATGAGGAAAATTTTCTTTCCACTAGTATGAGAGAAGACAAGCTATAAAAGCAAAATAACCCAAAATCCCAAACTGGCCAGTGCATGGGCAGAAAAAGCAATGGTTTTACCGGTGTCTTGCCTTAAAAATGCTTGAAAATACGAAATGCCTGGACTCTTACTTGTGTTTTGTGCTCTAGCCCTAGATGTGCGGCCACACCGAGAGCGATGATAACAATGAGCAGCATGGCAGCAATACTGCCCCAGAGAGCTTTGTGAGGAACCCTGGAGGAGCTCATGGGACCACAGTGCTAGAAAATCCAAACACACATCCATCTCCCTCCGAGTTACATTTAAGGCACATTCACATTAAAGAATATTTATGGATTGTAAGCAAGCCATAAAACACAGCTAAGCAAAACACAAACTGGCATATTTCTGCAATAATCTAAAGTATGTGTACTGCTAATGGAAAACAGCAATGAACTCTCACCATGTTCTGTGTGTCCTCCAGATTGGCTTCTGAATGCTTCCAGCACCTCAACATTCTGCCGTTTTGCTTCTCCTCACAGTACCCGCCTTACTTCTTTCTGTGTAAGACAATGTTCATGACTGAGACTGACCAGTGTTGCCTGCAGTATAGGTGTCTAACTCCTTCTGCCATCCTCTGCCCCCCACCTCTTGCCTCACACCAGGTAGTCCAACCCACTGGCTGACAACCCCATACCAGACAATAGACAAAGGGGACAGGTAGATCGGCACTGTGGACAGGGCTTTTCGTCGCAGAGCCAGTTTTTAAGGCATCGACTGGCCATGCCCTTAGGATGCTGACTGACCAAGGTGACTTTAATAACTTCAGAGGTGGTTATAGTGAGAAAACTGAAGTGCAGTCTCATTACAGGGAACACCAAAATTAAAACTGTGTCATCATTTACTCACTCTCATGTCATTCCAAAACTGTGTGACCTTCTTTCTTCCGGGAAAGTGAAATAAGACATTTTGATGAATGTTGATAACCAGACAGTCTTCAAAATATAATTTCTCAAAATATCGTCTTTTATGTACCCCTGAAGAAAGTAAGTTTAGATTGATGTAAGGGTGAGTAAATGATCACAGAATTTGCATCCCTTTTAAGTACAATATTTAGAAAAAGTAGTACACTTTTCATTAACAATTCTTATTTATTTGTTCAGTCAAGCAAAATGAACACTTTGTTCAAACCATGGCGAGAAGTAAAATCCTACCAGGTTTATGGGTTAGTTAGTGAGTGACAAAGCTATTAAATGCAAAATATAATTGAAAATATTCATAATATTCTCTCATTCTTTATGTTACAAGTACAGTGAATTAACAGTACATAACTGAACAAGTACTTCTGATAAAATAAATACAAACAGCACAATTTAGAGGGTCACTTGTTTTGTAGCACCAGAGTATTACTGGCTAGAAAACACAAGTATTACAAATGACTTTTTTTTTTAGACAAAATAAAAACAGTAACACTAAAATAAAAACGTATTGCCCTTATATTATCTAAAATAAAAATAGTGGGTTATTTAAAAAAGAGGTAGGCCAGTTTGAAATGAAGCCTTGATGACAGTAAATCATACTGCATACATGTAGAGATGAACAATTTCTATTAAACCTATTTAGATTAACTATAATATTAAAATACTGGTACCCATATATTGATAAATATTCTCTATTAAAGTGGGTGAAATCCAAGTAAACACTGACTATGTTTGTAGTGCAGGTAAAATATCAGCAATGCTGTCTATATAGTAGTCAGGCACCATTTTTTGCTGATGTGGACATTCGCTCTTCTGGTTTGCCTCGGCTTCTGCTACAGTAGAAACTCCTGTAAGGGTCAGCAAGGTCTTCAGGCCACAGTTTGAGCCTAGCATGATGTCAGTGTCCAGTCTATCTCCGACCATCAGACACCTCTCAAGGTCCAGACCGAGCTGGCTGGCCACACACTCGAACATGAAGTTGCTGGGTTTTCCGACCACTTGAGCTTGGCGTTGTGCAGCGGTCTCTACCGCCCTTAGGAGGCACCCTGTCCCTGTAGACAAGCGGAAGACAAGGTCGTTGTGATAACACGCCATTCAGGCAATACATACAGTATTTGTGATGTCATTCATATCTGTTTACCCGGGACCGCTTTGCCTCCCTCCAGAGGCAGCCTCGTGTCCGTGTTAGTTCCCACGAACTGACAGTCGGGGTTACAAAGGTACTGCAGAGCTCTATTGAGCTTCATGTAACTGAAATGTTCATCAAAACTGACCAATACAGCTTGGACCTCCTTATCGAGAGGAACATTCGCCCAGTCTTTCTGAACTCCTGAGACGGGGTCAGGTCCCACACCGACCGGCCGGATTCCCACGTCCTCGAGCTCCTGTCTCATCGCATTGCTCCCAATTAAATAGACTTTTCCGTCGAGTTTACATACATTTTTGAGGTACACCGCCGAGCAGTACACTGTCCCGAACACCTCGTCTGCGGTGGCATCGAAACCGAGCTTGCCTAATTTATCCGCGTACATTTGTCGGGTTTTCGTGCTGTTGTTTGTTACAAAAAACACCCGTTTTCCGTTTTTCTTCAGTGAACTGATAACCTCAGGGGCTCCGGGGATAGCTTGGTCCCCTCTCCATATTACGCCGTCGCAGTCAAATAGTACACAGTCAATCGAGTCCAGTAACTGTCTACTCAGAGCAGCAGTCAGTTGCGTACATTTAGATGCAGCCATTCTTCAAGTTACTCTCGTCCTCAAAGCAATCTTCTTTCTTGTCCTCGGTCCGTCCTAAAATAACCTAACCCTAACCTCTCTACGAATTGTCGGCTGACTAGCTTATGTCAGAATGACATGGAACTGGAAATTACTAGTTGCGGCACATTACCTTGTACAAGTGATTCATTTGTTTGACATTGTACGTGACGTTTTATACTAGTAAGGCACTTCCGCACGGGTTAAAGGGCCAGTGACCCTAATAAAATGGAATGAAGTAGACCTTCGTCCAAGTAACTTAGGCGCCATTTAAAAAAAATTTTTTTGAACGAAAACGGGGCTGTGAGGAAAACGTGTATTTTACTCTTATAGTGTTGAAGGGATGACTTATTCTTGTAGAGCAAAACCCGGAAACAAGTTAGCATTTTAGCACTTCCGGTTCCATCGTCCCGAATTTGATAGGTTTTTGGTTAAATGCCTGAAATAAGGTCTGTGGTTAACACAAGCTCAAGATATTTTTAAGTCTTATTCTGTGACATAAAATACATAATTATTTGTGATTTTATGTAAAGCTTTTACTTGTCTTGAAAAAGGCGGTTTTTAACAAGTGGCTAAATGGGACTACAGAGATTGTCGGGGACGGGGACATTAAGCATTAAAGTCTTTTTTAAAGTTTTTTTTTTTTTGTTAAAGACATAAAGAGTTGTCAGAAATTTAGTGATGGTGATGTATGTTAAAGTCATGCGAATGGTGTAGTTTGTTTATAGCCCACATTTAGCTTTTACTTCTGGGGATTGCATTGAGTCTTCAAAATTCATAAACGTTGTGTTCATTTGTGAAGATTATCATGATGAACAAAACACAGAGCTTTTATTGGTCGCGGCTTCTTTTTTTTTAAAGAAAAATCCAAATGCCAGTGGAAAAATCTGGTTAGGTTTTTGTTGAGGGAACCAGGGTGATGCTAACTTCTATGCTAACTTTTGCATTTTTATGGGAAAAAAAACTGAAGGTTAAAGATAACGATCAGGATGTTACCCCTGTTGGTTTTGTTGGGATCGATCTTTGGAAGATTCTGTATTCTTCAGGAAGGAGCATAAGGTGAAAGTGATAATTTGACTCATTTGATTAATCTGAGAAGATAATTCAAATATTTCATAAACATAAAACTGTTATCTCCCTAAAATCATTTTATTCACCACCTCGGAAGTGGATAAAGAGCTTTGGATGTATCAAGCTAAAGACCTGATTAACTTTAACCTGCAGTTTTTCCCCATAATAAAAATGTTGCGAAATCCTCCCTAAATTGCAATGCTCTCCTAAATGCATAATGAAAATTGATACGCAAGGTAAAAGTAGCATTTTCATTTCAATGTATTTTTTAACTTTTTTAATTAGAACTCCAGGCATCCTCTCCTGTTCATTTTATTCTTCTTATGTCCAACACAGTCCCATGGCAATTCGTAACTACTTTATGTTTTGCTGAATTAGTGGCTAATATGTATAAATTCGTACAATCTCATTTGTACGTTTTCATATGATCTGCTTATGCCCCATTGACGGTTAAGGTTCAGTGGGTTATGGGTGGACCTTTGCTTACTTTTTTCTAAAAATCATGTGAGTAATTTAATATGAGATCGTACTAATTCATACAAAATCACAACCTCATAAAATACACATTTATAATGAGACTGGATTTTGCAGTCCCTGATGACAGAGACCTTGACCAGATATTGAAATTATACCTCGGGAGGATGCTGTACAAAACAAAGTAATACAATGACACATGTGGAAAGATAAACTGTGGAAATTATGGTGCAGCAGTGACAGTAAACTTTGCTGTAATAGGGTAGCAGATTCTATGGATGAGATGGCAGGAACCTTTGAGTTGGCCAAGAACCAGGTACCATATTGTGGAAGAAAAGGGGTAACAGAGAGCTATGTTTGGTGCAGCCAAGAGGTTTATTCTACATTTATTTAAATATACAGTGCCTTGTGAAAGTATTCATACCCCTTCATTTTTTTTCACATTTTGTTATGTTGCTGTCTTATGTTAAAATACTTTAAATTACTTTTTCCCCCCACATCAATCTACACTCCATACACCATAATGGCAAAGCAAAAAACAGGTTTTTAACATCTTTGCAAATTTGTTAAAAATAAAAAAACGTAAAGGATCCCATTGCATAAGTATTCATACCCTTATCTGGGACAGTTGGAATGTAGCTCAGGAGCATTCATATTGCTTGTAGATGTGAAGTTAACCTGTGGCAAATTCAATTGAATGGATATTATTTGGAAAGGCACATACCTCTCAATAAAAGGTCTAACAACTGAAAATGCGTATCAGAGCAAAAACCAAGCCCTGAGGTCAAAAGAACTGCCTGTAGAGCTCAAAAACAGGATTGCATCAAGCCACACATCTGGGGAAGAGTTCAGAAAAAATTCTGCTGCATTGAAGGTTTGCAGAAGCATGTAGTCTCCATTACTCTTGGAAGAAGTTTGAAACAACCAGGACTGTTCCTAGAGCTGGCCTCCTGGCCAAACTGAGCAATGAATGGAGAAGGGTTATGGTTAGACTGGTGTAAGAAAAAGTGAAGACGTCGAAGATCTTGATGGAGAATAACTTTTATTACAGAATAGTAGTGACAAAGTACAGGCAGCACTTCGGATTCAGCGGAGTCAGAATGAACCCCGAACATCCTAAGCTCAATCATTTTATACTGTATTACGTTCATCTTCCCGCTCAACATGTAAATTAAGTTTCGTTTTAAATGTAAATTGCGGATGACAATGAAAGTGATAGCTGATGCTCTTGGCCCAAAAGAAGCATCACATCCACTCCCTTACACAAATTACACCTCCCTTCCAGGGCAGGTGACCAGTGGCGGTGTAGCCCTGCCTTAGGTCGTCCCCCTCTGGCCAAAGGAGAATCTTACCCGTCATTGGGTCTACACCTCATGCACACTGGTTACAACTCCGTTTCATTTGAGCAAAATTATCACAGGGTTTTTTTTGCATGGGGGCTGAAACCTGTGCTTTTGTGAATGATTCCCCTAACTGACATTAATATACTTGGAAGGTTTTGAGCCCAATTGGGACCATTTTCTAACACCATTTTTTTCAAAGCTGTCTTTAATGTTCTGTTCAATCTTTCTACCCCTCCTGAAGATTGTGGATGCTGGGCTATGTGAAGTTGATGCTTTATTCCCGGTATTTTTGCAAGGTCTTGTAAGGTCCGCGCACATGGCCCAAAAGAAGGTATCCAGTGGCGGATGAAGGTCTCTTGCATGTTCGGTCTTTTCAGCGCGCCATGATAATTAAGCTCTTTGTAGAGAAAGGAGCATAGTTTAAAACACAATTTGGAGTGGAAGCTGGGTCGAGGCAGACTATAATTTCTTACACTGGTGACCAAGAACCTGATGGCCACTCTAGTTGAGCTCTATGATCATATGTGGAGAGATAGTAGAAACCTACAGAAGGACAAACATCACTGCCCTGGGCTTGAACCCAATCAAACATTTCTGGAAAAACCTGAAAATGTGCATCTGCCCCATCCAACCTAACAGAGCTTGAGAGGTGAAGAGGTGAGGACAAGAATGGCAGATAATTGCCAAATGCTGATGTGCAAAGCTTGTCACATCAATTTTTAACAAAAACATTGGTAAAATGTCTATGTAGGAAAAGTAATAGATTAATTTTTGACAAGAGTGCACCTCAAAAATAGACATCATAACAGGAGTTCTGACCTTTGTCAAAAAAAGTCTTCTTTGTTGCCTTTTTCTCTATCACACTTTAGAAATCATCAGAAATTATATATCAATTGAAAACTTTAAATCTCAAAATTCATCCTTTGAAACCCATTTTAAAATCAAACATTGCATTACCATGAAAATGGTACATCAATATCATGTTACAAAATGTTTTCGTTCATGAATTATAAAAATTTCATGCACTTTCATGTCTAGGTTCACAGTTGTCAGTTGACAGTTAAGGGGTTATGCAATGTACTTATTTATTTGTTATTTTTTTATAAATTTAAAAAGTTTTGAACATTCTTTTTTTGCTGTGTCATTATGGTGTGTAGAGTGTAGATTGATGTGGAAAAAAATTAATTTAAAGTAGTTTAACATAAGGCAGCAACATAAAAAAAAACGTGAAAAATGAAGGGGTATGAATACTTTCGCAAGGCACTGTAAATAATAATAATAATAATATATACAGTCATGGCCAAAAGTTTTGGCAGTGACATAAATTTTGTGTTTTGCAAAGTTTACAGGACTCATGGTAGCGTTCACCTTTTCTTCTCCGAACAATCGATTTTCCAGATGTCCCAAACAGTCGGAAGGGAGCTCCATCAGAGAAAATAACTTTGCACCAGTCTTCTGCTGTCCAATCCTTATACTTCCTGCAGAATTTCAGTCTGTCCTTGAAGTTTTTCTTGGAGAGAAGTGTCTTCTTTGCAGCCCTTCTTGACATCAGGCCGTTGTCCAAAGGTCTTGGCCTCACTGTGTGTGCAGATGCAGATGCTCTCACACCAACCTGCTGCCATTCCTGAGCAAGCTCTGCACTGTTGGTGACACGATTCCATAGCTGACTCCTCAGGAGGAGACGGTCCTGGTGCTTGCTGGACTATCTGGGACGTCCTGAAGACTTCACTGCAGTTGAACCTCTCTCCTTGAAGTTCTTGATGATCCGGTAAATGGTTCTTTCAGGTGCAATATTCTTTGTAGCAATTTCCTT